AGTATTTTGTAAAATGCTGAAATAACCAAATAGTGAGACACTGACTACTAACTATATGGGGGGGGGGGGGGGGGCTTTATCATTTTGAAGCTGCTCTCCACAAATCACTAACCAAAATTCTAAGAATGGAAAGGAAAAATGCAAGCACTTAAGTGTATCTGCTCATGTGAAAAGATATCACATTACAGAGAAGACTGTGACTTGCAATGTAAGAGAACAAGCCAGGAGAACAAGAAAGCAGCCCAGGAACCAACTGGGGTAAAAAGAATCATGGTGGGACCAACACAAGGAGTGTAAAGCAGTCCAGAAAATGTTGTAGGCCAAAACCAGCCACAACTAGTTGGCCCCAGGGGAAAACACAGTGGGTGTTTGAATAACAGAGGCTACTACAATACCCATCTGCAAAGTACAGGTAAAACAAAAAGCTACAGCATAGGGTCATGCCTGCAAAAGAACACAGGGGTCAGCACAATTAAGAATCCTGAAGGACAATACAGTTAGTCTGAACATGAGTATATGTTGACAACAGTAAAGAAAAACAAACTATTGAATGGTTAGTTAGGTATTATTTGTTGGTTTCTTAGGTATGGCATCTTTACCCTTGGTCTCCCACTTAAAAGACTCCTAGAGCAACTTGCATTCAATCAATAAACAAGATAATCTCAGCCTGCAGGCTAAAGGAAGAAGAGATGGAGATGGAAGACTGAGAAAAAAAACAAACTCAGATGGAAGATTGTAAAAAAACAAACTACTATTTAACTCTTAATGTTAAATGCTGGTTCTTATAATGACCAGCTGGAATAGAATCAGTCCAGGAGGAGCCAAAAAGAGTGAGCTTTTTGGCCAAGTCAATGCAGTAGCCCTGTTTTCCTTCTATTCCTTGCAGCAGCTTGATGGACTTACGGCTGGCAGGTGATTTTGGGGGAGGACCTGATGGAGCTCGAACTAAGCCACATCACTTATGGTACCTGCTGGGGTTGGGCTTTCAAACTGGAGCCCTGTAATGCGGAACTGCCCTGGCCAACCCTTAAAAAAGGAGTCCTGAGGTCAACCTTGTGGGCTAAATGCAGCCCTCTAGGGTTTCACCATGGTTCCAGTGCAACCCACCAGGTAGACAAGCCCCTTCCCCTAGCCCTGCTACTTAGAAGGTGTCCCAGATTCTAGGTGGTTTTTCCCCATTCTAAAAAGTTGCTTCCCTTCCTGAGTTTCAGTTACTGACAGCAAGAAGTTTATGCTAATATGTGATGATAAATTTGGCTTCACATACTTTTGCCTTCAGCCCTACACATCAGTACTAGGTGGCTTGGCCTGAAAGATTCCTCCCTTCAAATATGACATATATGTTTGTTTCAGCTTAAAATAGGCAATGTTTTAGAAGAAGTTTGAGACTGACATTTTAATGGTGTGTCTAGGCACAACTTATGCTGCAATGCAAAATGTCTTTTTCTGATGAATTAAGATCATCTTTTAGAGCAACTAAACAAAGGCATTAAAAGTTATTTTAAAAAATGCACCATTTTCAAATGACCTTTGGCTGTGTCACCAATTCCTGGGATACCAAACAAACTAATGAAAACCTTCTTGCATTTCTGTTTGAAAATTATTCTTGTACATCTTGATACAGAAGCAAATATTAAAAGGATATGTGCCTTATACAAAGGTTTTACAGAGTTATCTTTGTAAATGAACTATCATGGAGTAAATAATTTCAGTCCAGTTCCTGAAGACACAAATGATATTTGGGGACTTGTAGAAATCTAAAACTATTGGAGATAGACAGGGTAGCAGAGGGTTACTTGCACTCCCTTTCTGTTGAGGTAATTAAAGGTTTACCCTTTTTCAAACAGCAGCAGGGCTGCCCAATCTGATGGAAACTCTCCTCCCTATGCCAAATTGCATCTCATGGTGGGGGTGAATGTTCACTGGGCCCATAGAAGGAAGAAAAGATTAAACTCTCCAATCTGGTAAGTCCTAGTGCAGCTAAAGGGTCACTGAGGCTGCTATCTGCAGTTGAAACAAAACAAATCACCATTTGCTGTATGTTAATCTCATTCATGCTATTCACATCAACTTTGGCTTTCAGAGTTAGTTCACAGGCCTACACAGACTCAAGGTTTAAATTACTGTATATCTCAGGACAAAACAGACATTTCTTTGAAAGTGTGTTGAGCAACCACTTTTTTCCACGTTTGCTCTAAAACAGTCCAGCCACCATCCAGAATGGGCCCCTCAGCAGGTGGGTAGTGGTCGGGAGCCTCTTAAGACCCATGTCAGGTCCCATGTGCCTATTCTGGAGTAAAAATTAAATGACATAGCTACTAAACACACATTTAAAGTAACGTCTTTTGTTTTGCTCTCTGCTGTTACAATATCCAACTTGCAGCCTTTTCATTATCACTGCAAATGTGCAATTTATTCTACACATCAGTAGTGACTAGTTTCAAGAACCCATGTATTTGATGGGTGCACAAGTTGTCCTCAATTGCCTCTTTACATACCAATTTGTGATAATCCATACATTTTCCATTATATTCCCTTGTATTTAGTTGGGGGTGGGTGGGTTAATGGGAAATCACAGCCATTTCCTAGTCACACAGCCATTGTATTAAAGTGCTCCAATTTCCTCCATCCTCTATCCTTCCAATAGTAAAAGCATCAATGCACACACAGAGAGACCTTCCATAGGGAACAAGTGAATGGGAAGAAAACACTCTCTCATAATGGACTTGACTCAATCTTGGGAAGAACAACTTCTGGCAAATGAAGTTCCCATTTTGAACTCAGCTGTGTTTTCAATAGTCCAAATCACTCTTTAGGTATTGTCTGATAAAACACGCACCCTGTATGGTTTAAGGATGCTGTCTAGCACACAGATGTACACTTTATTTTGCTATTTCTGTAGAATGTGAATTCTGTATGTTTATGTACACCTAACTTAAAAAGGTTTTCCTTTAAATGAATTTAACCTATTATACAGATTTTTTCCTCTTCTTTTTTTGGAAAGAGAAACCTTTCTAATAATCACTGGAAAACTGAAACTCTTCTTGCTGTCCTCTGTTCCCCTGAAATGTGTCCAAATGGAGTCTTGTTTACTTTATAGTTAATGGGAATGAAAGGAAACATAGTGATAAAATATTGAAAAGTTTTCCATCTAGCATTGTCTGCTTTAATCTTGTGCGCATCTTCAATTCAAAAACCCCCAAAGTCAAACTACATCACTCTCTGAACCTTTAAAAAGGAGAGTTCCAAGCACACAATAGCTGTTAATGCTTCCAATGGTTCTCATGGGGAAAAAGCCCATTTTCACAGAGAAAAATATTAACACATCCATTTTACAATCACACATTAAGAGAATCAGAATATGAGTCAGAATCTTCATGAGATCACAGTAAATATCTGTTTACTCCTTTGATTAAAGCTCTTGTTGAAAAAACCAAGTCATAAAACAAGAACATTGTACCGCCAAGTCAAGATACACAAGATACACAGGTTGAGTGCCAGTTCACACATTCCAATTCACACACTCCTTGAGCAAGCAGTAACTTATATCCCAGCAGATGGAACTTTCTTATCCCCAAATGTCAAGCCAAACAATATTTTTCCATAGAAGCAGTTCACAGTATGGTTCATGTAAGGAATAATTAAGATCAGTGAGAGGATAAGTAATGATCATGTATGTGTAAATCAGTCCTGGGAGACTAGCATAAAGAGGAAACTGATCTGGAAGGAAAAAAAAATCCCAGAAGAGTCACATTTCCTTTAACCATCACCCAAAGCCTAAAAACATAATTTGTATGCAAATCTCATGCATGTGCCTAAAACTTATTTTCAAAGAATTTGTTCACAATGCTGCTGAATGTATAGCAAGGGCTGTGTTCTTTTTCAACCAGGAAAAGACTACACGTTGGACGTGGATCATTTGGCAACTCTTCTTTTGTTCCCACACACAGTTATATTTTAAATGGAGCCAAGCAGCAGACTTGGCATAGTAGGAATATGTGAGTAAATTACAAGTTATTTACTCCTTTTACACAGAAAGTTTGACAAATTGCTCTTTCTCTACAGTGTGCACAGGCATAAGTAGAAATTACAAGACAGATATCAATTTGCAGTGAGTCATTAATACACAGAAGTGCCTGCAGCTCTGGGCTCCCTAATGCAGAATTTTAAGAGAGACTAAGGGAGCAATCCTATGCATGTTTAGACATGCCCTAACGGTTTTGGTTTTTTTTTGAGAAAGTAAAATAAAGAAGAGTTGCCTAGCTCCAGAACTAGATCAAGGTCCAAATTCAGCTCACTGGGTAGGCTTGGACTAGTCATCATCATTCAGTCCAGCCTTCCTCACAGGGTTGTTGTGAGATTAAAAGGGGCTTTATACATTACTCTAAGCTCCTTGGAGGAATGCAAACAACAACTACTCCTAAATTAAGCAGGGGGCTTTATACATTGCTCTAAGTTCCTTGGAGGAATGCAAACAACAAATACTACCACTATCACTGCTGGGGCCAAACATGCCATGATATTCAGAATTGGAAGGCTCTTGTAATCACACATCCTTCGCCTAGAAGACTTTCTACTAATCCTAAGAGGAGGCTTAGTGCTGAAGGAAAGCAACTCTGAATCAGTGTTGGCACAAGTTTTTGCAAGCATTGTTGGCAGGAGTGTATTGCAGAAGAAACCTGACAGTTTTAAAGGTGGCACAAAACTCTATGTTGTTTTTGCTACAGCAAACTAACACGGCTACCCCGGTGGTAACTGCACATATTTAAGGCACAACCCTGCGCAAATTCAGACAGAGCAAACGGACTTCATCTCCTAACACAGAATGGTATACTGGGAGTTGTGGGCCTTTTTTTCCTGTCTAAACTTGCATAGGATCGCACTTTGGAGATACTTTCTTCTGAATTACTTTCAAATAATTACTAAGCCCCTAGCGCTCTAAGCCCTCCTCTCCCACCCACGCCGAGATGAGAAAGTGGCGCAGAAAATCCAGGACTTACTGTAGAAGATGTACTCGGTGTAGCTGCTCCAGATCTTGTCCTCCCTGTACTGGTTAACGAAGGCTGCGGTGCCGGTGGAGTTGCAAGCCACCATGTGGAACCCGGCTTCGGAGAGGCGGTCGAAGGCCTGCTCCAGGTAGGTGAACTTCAGGTAGAAGCGGGAGGTGTATTTCTCGGGCGGGCGATCCGGGTCGCGGCTCTCGTTGAGCGTCTCGCCGAAGATCTCCTTGGCCAGGGCGATCCGGCCGCACACCATGATGCGGGCCACCCGGCGGAACTTGGCGTCGCTCTGGTTATCCCGCACCGCGGTGTAGGAGCCGCGGTAGCCGACGGTGATGAAGCCGGCGCGCTTCTCGCCCGCGCGCGGGTGGGGCGGGAGCAGCTCGCCGCTGCCCGGCGAGTTGGCTTCCTCCAGGTCGCTCTGGCAGCCCTCGTCGTTGAGCGAGCTCTGCTTGGCGACCTTGGGCGAGAGCAGCTTGACCAGCTCGGCCAGCTGGAAGTACTCGGCCTCGCGCAGCAGGCGCTCCTTCTCCGGGAAGTGCTCGGGCAGGGCCAGCTGCTTGTCCCGCAGGTAATCCAGCACGTACCTGAAGAGGAAGCCGTCGCGGTCGATGAAGAAGCGCGCCCGGCTGTCCCTGGGCAGCTCCCGCGTGGCGTTCCGGCGCGGCGCGAACATGTGCGCCAAGGTGCTGTCCGGCACGCTGAGCAGCGTCGAGTGCTTGGTCACGTACACCTGGCCGCCCACGTTCAGCTCCACCACCTCCGGGAAGGCGCTCCCCGCCGCCGCCGCAGCCGGCGAGGCGCAAGAGGACACCATGTCGCTGATGGGCAAGATCGTGGCGGTGCTGCCTCCGCCGCCGCCGCCGTCCTTCAAGGCCATGGCTGCTGCCGCTGCTGCAGCGGCTGCCGACGGCGCCCCCGGGCCACTTTGCCTCCGCGCAGCGCGCACACGGGACGAGGCAGCCGCCGCGCGCAGCGCCCCGCGAGTGCCTCCGGACCCCGCGGGCGCAAAGCCGCGGCTGGGAGGCGGGCTGGCTCGCCCAACCCACCCGCTTCCTTGCGCCCCCTCTTGCCCCGTGCACGCTCCCCTTCGTCGCCCGATTCAGGCTCTGGGGCCAAGGGGCTGCGCCCCCCGCCCTGCCGCGCAAAAACGCTGCTCTCGCGCGCGCTCTGCGCCACCAGAAGGAATCTCCTTTCCGGAGCGCCCGGCCACTTATCCCGCCTTCTCTGCCCCACAGTTCGTTGGCGTGTTTTCTTTTCCTCCAGCGGGGGCGAACCTCCCGGAGAGCAGGACTTTCTCCTCGAGACGGGCTCCGTCTCAAGGCGTGCTCGTGAAAGAGACCCTCTTCCCTCCGCCCCAAACTCAGCGGGCTCTTCCCGCCATCCTAGCTGCGCCTTGGCGCCCGCGCCCCAGCCGGAGGGCTCCGTAAGGCTTCCCCTGAAGGTTGCGCCTCGCGCCCGCGGCGCTGCCCGAGCAGGACGCGAGTCCCGCTCCGCGGCCCTCTGCCGTTTCCTAGCCGCGCTGCCCGCTCGGCCGCCTGGCGCCGCGGCGCAGCGACCGCCGCACCTTCCAGAGCGTGCAGCCGCCCATGAGGAAAGGCGGCTGCTGGCGCGGGCGCGGGCGGGAGCAGCCTCTCCCCGCCTCAGCCCCGCCAGCCCACGCGCCCCCCAATCACAAGCCGCGGCGGCAACTCGGGGAACCCGCCCTGACGTCAAGCCCGGCCAGCGACTGCGAGAGGAGCGGTTGGTACCTCGCGAGCAGCTGACGCGCCGGGCTTTTTGTGCTGCTGTTTTGCAAGCGGGGACGGGGTAGGCGCTGTTCAGTCCTGGGATGCCGCGTGGTGCTTCGGCAGGTGCGGCCACCTGATGGACGCGCGCGGGCAACATTTGCGCCCCTTCTTTCCACAGAAAACCTCCGTAGGAGTCTGGAGCAGGTTGCCTGTGGCTTGATCTGAATTAATCGAGGATCCGCTAAAGAAGCGGAAGAATGAATGCAAAAATTGCAACAAGAGACCAAGCAGGACTTTGTTGGTGTTAATATGCTGGCAAGTCCTCTCCTATGAACGAAAGCACCCCCAAACTGGTACAGGCTGTAAGTAAGTAAGTAAGTAAGTAAATAAATAAATAAATAAATAAATGCTGTCCCTGTTTAGCTGTTTTAAATTCAAGGCTGTGACTTCCTTTCTCAAGTCAATCCATCTCTTATTTGGTCTTTCTATTCTTCTGCCTTTAATGTTCCCTCACATGATTTTCTTCTCCAATAAATCTTGCCTTCTCATGATGTGTCCAAAGTATGACAACCTCAGTTTTGTCATGATTACTACCAGGGAAGCTTCTGATTTGATCTGACCTGGGACTTACTTGTTCATCTTTCTTTTGGTCCAGTGTATCTGGAGGGTTTTCACAAAGCTAATTGTAATTTCTGTAATAATTGAGGAGTAGGCTAAATTTATTTATTTATTTATTGTATTTATATGCCACCTTGTTTTTCCTTTCAAGGAACTCACTTGAAAGGACCACTTACATACTTCTCTTTCTCCTCTCAATCTTATCTTCACAACTGTGAGGTAGGTTGGGCTGAGAGCCTGTGACTGGCCCAAAGCCATCCAGTTACCTTCATGGCTGAGTGGGGAGAGAACCTGGATCTCAGCCCGTCTGTTGCTCTTCACCACTGCTCCACACTGGCTTTCATGAATGGTCACCCCTTCCCACTCAATGCTTGGGAAGAATTCCCACTTCCTCTGTCATGATCTTATCCCCATTTCTGGTTGAGTACACGTAATTACTTTCAGAGAACTGCAGTGGCCAAAAGGTCACCTGTGAACATTTCCTTAAGACGATATTGTAATAGCCACCCCAAGGCTTCTGCGATGGGTGCAGCATAGAAATATTATATATAAATAAATAAATTGTTATAAATCAATAAATATTTGAGAAACCTCATTTCTTAGGAAATGGTTACAGGGTTGAATTGGTTTTTAAACTTGGCATATAGAATAGTGTTGGGAACAGGTGTAATAACTTTCATTCCAGTATATATATTCTAAAGAGATATCATATTATAGGATATTTTAGATCTTTTTTCCACCCTTAAAACTCTTAGGGATTGTACATGATGGGAAATGAGCTTGTGACTAAATATATTGCAATTATACCATAAATATACACACCAAGGTTTATTATGATTTCTCAGTGCTCAAGGTGTTCAACCTGGATTTCAGACTTGAAATGAAGAGTTTTGTCCTGTATTGGCAAAGCAGCTATCGGGTTGATATGTCCTTAGCCAAGGCAGACATCACATTGTGGCATCTTCTGCATTCCCTTTCTCTGAAACACAGGTGTGAACTGCTGGTGATGGAACTTCAAAGAATAAAATTGTGTTGAAAATATGCACATCCAATTCCATGGTGATATTTCAATACTCTGGGGATATATTGCAGTAGTGTGTTTTACAGCTTTTCTGGACCCTTTGAAAAGGGGGCCAGGCTAGTGTTCAGACTTGAAATGTAGAACCTACCAATTTCAAATTTATCTTGACTTTTCACATAACAGATGGCTGGGTGAAACTTGATCGTTTTCAAGTGTATTTTGCACATTGCCATCAGCAACCTTTCATCCCCCTTTTCAAGACTTACTGAAAACTCAGCCCTACATTTTTTTCAGTGTGCAGAATCTTTCTGCTACAAAAACTGCACATTACCTTCTATATGCCCTGAGTAGATGTGGCAGGCAAGCATTGGGGTGGTGGGGAGGGTTTATTGGGACTTGGTGATCCAGAGGTCTGGCCCAGGCTGTCAACTCATTATCATAAGAAACAAATTGAGACTAAGTGCTAGATTGTGCATGCAGATATTTATTAAGCCTTGTTTCCCTGCATCTTTGTTCAGATCTGATTAGATTTGCTGGAGCCACTGAGAACATTTTTAGAGCAGAACAAGCAATGTTCTAAATGGTCACTTGTTAGCCGAGGCCCTTCTCTAGTGTAAAAAGAACAGGCTGCTTGCAGTTAAACTGGATTGTTTAAGAGACAGATCTGAGTTTCCTCTGTGACATGTCCTCAGATGGTTACCATATTTTTCGTTCTATAAGACACACTTCCCCCCCTCAAAAGTAAGGGAAAATGTCTGTGCATCTTATAGAGCGAATGTGTGTGTGCCCGACGCCCGGGACCCTGCCGGCCCACCTGTACTACGTGGCACCACCTGGCCGGCACGCGCTTGGCGTGCGCCTCTGCCCCCCCCCCGGCTCAGGTGAGAGCTGTGCCACTCAGGGGGAGCGGTGTGGAGGAGGCGGAGCCGCGGGCTTTAACCCGCCGGCCGCACGGAGAGACGGACTACTCACCCCCATCACCCAGGAAGACCTGCTGCTGCGCCGCCCCGAAGACCACCGCCGGCACGCTGCCAGCCCGGCTGCACCACACCTGGCCAGCACGCACTCGGCGCGCCCTGCTCCGCCCCCCTCCTCCGGTGCAGGTGAGAGCTGTTAATCACAGGTCGGTGTGTGTTTTCAAATGGCAACCCGTCTTTTAATGAAGCCCATGGGGAAGTGATGGGGAATGTGCCTGTGATTATCAGGAAGCTTTCCATGGATCCCTCCTCTAAAAACTAGGTGCGTCTTATGGTCAGGTGCGTCTTATAGAGCAAAAAATACGGTAATTCTACAGTTCCTTGACTATAGACAGGAGTAAAGAAAGAATGCTATGAGGGACAAAGCACCATGACAGGGGCATTCTTCCCAGGGAGAATGGGTGCCAGTGATCCCAGACAGGTATTATTTATAGGCCCAGATACGTCTGAGTAAATTTCTCATTTACAGTGAAGAACATGAACCAACGGAGATGGAAATGATTTCAATATAGTGGCTGGGTTCACCCTTCATAGCATTCAACCCTGTGCTGTTTGAACAGCACTCAGATTTTTGCTTGAACTTATCAGACATCCATATGATTTCTGGGCAACCCCATGATTTCTGTCTCCTCCGACTTGGTCTTCCTGCACTTTCCACATACTCCAGTAGTCCGTGCAAGCAGTATCTCCTTCCTTGTGCTGCTCCCTATGGCCCTTAGCAGTCTCATCCTGGTTGTTCTGCTGAAGTTTTAAGGCAGGTTCTTTCTCTCCCGACTCCAGAGTTGCAGAAAGCCTGCAACACTTTCTAGCCACTCCGCCCTCTGAAGGATTTCTTACTAAAATAAAATGTACACTTTTCCTGTGATTCCCCACCTTCTCCTCTCATGCTTTCTTCCTGTTTCTGAAAGTAAACAGGGAGAGGGCACATTGTCAATGAAAAGGAACAATTCTATGTGTTCAGAGTCATTTTGTGTGAGGACACATGTGTTGCCATGGCGCTGAGGGTAGTAAAATGGAGGTCCTGGGTTCCAACAATTAGAGAAACCGCAGAGAAGTTTGGAGACTGATTGGTGGTTCTGTCCATGGGTTTGGGAAACTAAAGGTATCATGCAGAGATGCCAAAGTTGGGTCTGGATGACACACAGACCAACAAGGATAAGAACTCCTCAATGGCTGTGCCTGTGGCAGTACACAATGAAGAAAAGCTGCTAGATGCCTTATGCAACTCCAGTCTAATGTTGTCAAAAGATGTCAGTGACTCTGAACACAAAGTTAATTATTTTGCTTGGGTCCTGCCTAGATACATCATGTTTAAACTATGTTCTCAAAAGCAGTTGTTTATTCTATTGGTAAAATACATTTTATGCACTTCTAATGCACTGCTGTGCAAATTGTCCTTGTTCATTCCGGGCAAGATGAAGGACATGACTGTTAAATTAAACCATTTCTGTGGAAGATGGTCAGCAAAATGGATCCTCTGCCATCAAATATATTAATATCAAGGCCTTAAAACAGGAGTAGCAGTAGGGTACAG